ATTACTAACTACCGCACCAGAAGATTGGACGAGAGGAGGAAAATCTGAAGAGAGAAGGGCAGCATCCATAACAGCGATAAGAAGAAAATCCTCCGGCAACGCCGGAGGTGAGAAAAGAAGGGAAGATCAGAAGGAGGTGGGGAAGGAAAAAAACCCTAACCGTCCTAATGATCACCTTATAACTCTTTATAATTCCCAATTAGTGAATCACGTGAATCAAAATAGGATAACACCATATCATGGTATTTAAAGAAAAGCCTATCGTCCCACCATTCTATATAGGCTACGTAGTCTCCAACCAATGTTCGTAAAAGCAGCTTTTACGAGTTCTCACACATACTATTATCATAGTATTATAATAATAATATCAACGAGCCATTACCCAATCATATACTCATATTTATTCACAATGCTTATATTATTAATATGCTTGAATAAAAATAACAAAATTTGTTTTCTTTATAAATCATGCAAAATATAATACTTTTATTTTACTTGTTGAAATTATGAAATAAACAAACCAAAATATTCAGAATAATCAGTGCTATAACATTTAAAAAGTTATATGGTAGAAGTTCACTAAATATGAGAAAAATGCAATAAAATTAATTTGGAAGAAATCTAACATACAACATTGTATGCTGAATCCAAAATTATAGTAGAATAGAGCCTTCAATGTTGTTGCGACAACTTTTTACACCGTTGTGCTTATAGGCCTAACTTCATAGTGTTCACAATCTCAATGCTACAACATTATAGTTCAAATAGAAATTTATATTTTCATTTTAAATTTACTTTCAAAAATATCAAGTTGTTACAATTTAGCCCCTAGGACTTGACCATAGTCAACCCATCGACCACGCAAAGTCAAACCTAATGCATTTAGGTATCCTTGACCAAATTGGTTTTAAAACGGCCAATTGACTTAGCGAGCTAGTAGACCCTAGGCTTACCTAGGATTTAGATAGATTAGATAAGAATCCTCAAATGGCCCCATGGGTTGGCCAATTAGTTAAGTAAATATAGGGTTAGCTTAATTGAACCTTTAAAGGGTAAATACGACCAAATCAATTTTAAGTTTCAAATGTACTAACCTAGATGGAATCTAACCTTACAATAAATGTCCCTAAATGAATTACATTCGAAAATACCAATCGACCTATTAATTGGACCAATTGAGCTTAACTGACCTAGTTGAAATAAATGAGCCAATTGGGATAAATTCACCTTAAACATCAAATCAATTTAATTAAATGAGCATGGAGTCTTACATGAATAAACTATGCTCAACCTCATTTGACCATATGTTTAACCAATTTTGATCAAATGTGTCAATTCAACCCATTTGAAAAACTATATATTCAAAATTGGTTTAATATTGGCCAAATTAGTTCATTCCATTGCTCATGAAGCTTGAATAGGATGTTTAAAAGCTAATCCAAGTTGGGTTAATGAAGTTGACCTTATGTTCTTACAATACTGATCAATTTGGTTAACTTAACCCAAATAGACCAATTTGAGTCCATGCGAGCCAAAGCAATTTAAATGGCAATATTGGCTTAGCCAATTGATTCTAGTGATAAAAATCATAGATTAGGTCAACTAACCATGGTTTATCTAGATTAAACTAGGAATTCTCCACAATTTGCTTGAGTACAGTCCTTGGTTTCCTCCTAAAATAATAATTGGCAGCATTGTTAATATTTATCAAGCTTGGCAGGAATAGATGGCAGCTTATGGCGGCGGTTTAACCATTATTGATCCAATCTTTAAGCTCTATTTAAAGCAATAAACAAACCCAACTCTTTTTTACACTTCATGGAACTTCATTAAGCTCCCATTGATGAGATCAACCCACCATCCAACCTAAAGGCAAATTTGGGTCTTGATCAACCCGTGCCCTCAGTATATTCCAAGAGAATCTTAGAGAGAGTTTACTACACTTCATCTTATTGAAGGCGGGGGATGGATTGCATTGACTAACATTTTGCAAGGCTGGAATAATTCATAAATCTTACCTTAGCCTCAAGATGTCTAGTTTGTGTGCTTGCTCAAGTCATGCTAGGGGGAATTAAACCTAACCCCTTGGTAGCCTTGCTTCATATGAATTTTCATCTATTGAAAGCTTATGATTTCTCCTTCCATAGATGAAGAAATCCTTTATGGGTTGCATGGGGCTTGGTCAGCCTTAGACTCATGCCCTCTAATTCCTTTCTAAATGCAAAGATAACAATAATACACTGATAAATCTTATTTAAATAAAGCACAATGGCCTAGATTAATCCAATAGGAATTATTTAGGGATTTCATTAGACTTTTGTTGTTGTTCAACTAGCCCGCCATTTAACTAAATGCATGTTGATATTTTTATTTTAAATATAGAAAATGCACTATTTTAATATTATTAATTATGAGATGAATTTCAAGTGTTCTCAAATTCAATAGGTAGCTCAAGTACATCATTTTAGCCTTTGTTTAGGATAACTTTCTTACTAATTTATAAAATAGCTTTTTGAATTTTTTTTTTAATTTTGAAAATTTTGTACTTAAAAATCTGCTTTAGAAAGCTGTAAGAAATCTGTCCTAAACAAAGCCTTAAGCCTATCAAATTGATTTTATGATATGAGTTCTAAATTGCATTAGAGAATTTTTCAAACCCTTAAAGTCACTGTTCAAAATTTATTGCAATTAGGTTTTTAACTAGAAAATTCTTTTTTTTTTTAATCCTTATAGCATGGGCTCACACACTCTTAAATTATTTTGGAATTTTTTGAGTTGGTTGATGTATTTAATAATATTAAAATACTTATTTGAACTATTTTTGAATTATTAAGTATATTTAAAATATTTTTAAAATTCCAATAAAATTTAACACTATTTTTTAACTTAGTAGACACCTCCCTATTTTTTTTTTGTAGTTTTGTTTGTTCACTTGCATAGATTTCATATTTATAACCCAAAATTAGTCATATTTAAAATTACTAAATTGCAATTTAGTGCTCCTAAAGCCATGGCATGCATTCCATGAGTAATTATCACTATTTTGAGCTTACTCAAAGTTTCCTAGATTTATTTTAGATATTTTAAGATTTTTTATAATTAAAATATCAACTATTTTGTATCTTTAATATGGGAAAATACATCAAATATCATTTAAAATTTTGGGCTTGCTTAAGTATATGATTTTAGTCAGTTGATTTTATCTTTATTATTTTCCAAAACCATCAAACTCACTTTCATATTTTAAATATATTAAATCCTCTTATTCTAATTTTAAAAAATAGGTACTTAAGAAAAAAATGAAATTCACATAATTGTTGATATTATCAATACATGTTTTCAAATCTAATATCATCTTGAGTATGTGAATATTTTTTAAATTATTTGAATTTATTCCATTTTATTTGATAATTTTCTTGACTATTGTAAATTCATCAATAATTATGGAAAATATTAAATAATTTTTTAAAATCTAAAAAATATTTGAAGATGTTTATTTCATATACATGAGCTTGGTTGAGAGCTTAGGCTTCCAACTAAGAGGTCTTGGATTCGAGTCTTGTGTATGCAACGTATGTGTGAGTTTGCCTTAATTGACCTAAATGTCCAATAAAAAAAAAAATTCCAGAGCTGCATGGGGGCATTAGTTGTGCGATATAATGTTATGTATAATTACTATTAAAAAGCGCTAATTTTAATAGTGATAATATAATTTTTAATTAATTTTATTAATTAAGGCTTAATTTGAGTTTTCTAAAGTCAAATTTCAGACATTAAACATCCATAAATATTTTGAAATTTTCTACATTATTTGATATTTTTCATGAATTTTCACCCCTAGTTGACGATTATGAAAAACATTAAATAATTCCTAGAAGTGTCCTTAATATTTTAACTTAATCAGCACATTTTGCAGCTAGGTCAACCCAATTGGACTATGAGTTGATTCATTCTCCAAATTTCTTTGATTTTTTTCTAATTACTCATAAAGTTAGATAAAAATATATTTTTTTTAACTTTGATTATCCACTTGAATTTGACTTTCTTAGAAACATCAGGTTCAAAATTTCAATTTTAAATGTTAATTCTAATTCAATTACTTGATAGTTATAGGAATTTTCTATTATAAATCTTAAAAATTAATTTTAAAAAATTTAAAAATATTCAAAACCAATTTTCATTTGGTTTAATGCATGTTGCTCACAACAATATTTCCTATCGAATGCTACACACACCCGTATGGTGTCCTGATTAAACCAGGTTAACTTTTGATCAACTTAAATTGGCCAGCTTTCTAGCCTTTATAGTACCTTAATCATATGTAGCTAACAATTTGCACTTATATTTAAAACTTAGAATTCATTTGTGACAACTTTCTTTCTGCTTCTTAAAACAGCTTCCTAGTATAAAAATTAAAACTTTAAAAAATAGTTAAAAAAACAGTCCCAAACAAAACCTTCTATAATCATTTGACCTTAGGAAACCTAGTCCCTTTGGGAGATTGATCAATATCAATTATATATTTGATTGGACTTCAATTAGATGATATAATCTTTTGAGTATTTTATACGAACGAGATAATATGATTTATACCCAATTAAGCCTAATCATTCTAGCTAACACATTAAGTTTCTCATTTGGAGATTACATTCACAATAATGAAACTAAAGGGAGTTGATAGGGCCCACAAAAGTGATAGAGCACATTTTAAACATAATGCAAAGCAAACAAGCTTATTCGAATTAGAATATTTTAAATCCCATTTGGGACAACTTTCTTATTGCTTCTTAAAGTAGCTTTTTAGTACAAAAATTATGCTTTAAGAAGTAGAAAAAAAGCTGATAGCTTTTTTATTACTTTTTAAAACAGCTTTCTAGTTCAAAAAATTCTTGAATTAAAAATTTTTATACTAGAAAGCCGTTTTAGAAAGCAACAAGCAGAACCCTCATGTTTAATGGCCACTAAACTATTAGTAATAAACCATAGAAAGACTACGGTAGTTTTATATTTGAAGGAACATTTATTCCAAATGCAAATCTCCTCTTTTCTTATACTTAGGCTTCGTTTGGGACGGCTTTTTTATTGCTTCTTAAAACAGCTTTTTAGTTCAAAAATTAAATTTTTTACACTAAAAAGCTGTTTTAAGAAGCAGTATGAAAGTCATCCCAAACGAAACCTTAAACTTGCTTCATTTAAAATAAAAAATCTAGCTAGCTATGTGTCACTGCCGTTTAGAGTCCACATTGTCATCACATACTCTACATACAAAACAAATTATCATCAACATCTCTTCTTACAATATCTTATTCTCCATAGCTCAAGATCTCTACCCCGTTCATACTCCCTTATGTACTGAGGTATCTTAAATATGTCAATTTGCTCGCCCACGAAGCAGGGGAGTAACACATCATCAGGCATCCTACATTCTGGAAGAGCATAAGATCTTACTAAATAATGGAAGACACAAAACATTAGAAAAAAGGATAATTTTCTATGTAACACTGAAATATTATGGATTTAGGCCTAGTTTGATCGGGCGTTTTTTGTGCTTATTCCTTTTTAAAACAGTAAAGTTATTTCATATATACTGTTTGATTCCTCAAACCAAGTTTCCAATAACACCATTTTGTTCATTTTTTTGTTGTTTTGAGAAAGCTTTTTATATACGCTTTCTCCGTTAAAAAACTCATTTCTCTGAACCAATATTTCTGAAAACTGTCTTTTACCGAATAACCAAACAAAGCCTAATAGTAATAACACTGAAATGACTCTATTTACAATAAATGTTGAAGAGCATAACAAAACTATCAACTTCAATTCTATAATTTGTTAAATTCTCAATGATTTTGTTGTGTCATATGCACATAAATGGATTTCAAAGTTCATTTTAAATTGTTGAATAATAGTTTTGTGAAAAAAATAAAGGATGATTACAGTGGCATGCATGTATATTTTCCTCAAAAAATGGTGGAAATGATAGAAATATATTTCACCTTGGTCGTCTTTACAGAAACTCCGGAATCTTGCGTAGCCATTAGCAACAACATCAAGGTCATCTAGAGAAAAGTTGTACCTTTTCTCCAATGCCAAGTATAGAACCTGTAGTAGTCAGAATCAAGACATGAATAAAATCCTACTATACGTGAAACAGATTGATAGTGTATTTAAGTTCTCTCTGATCATTTGTTAGCATTACCTTTTCAGAACCTCGAGACATCAGCTTCTCCAAAATGTTGAAAAGAGACTCGGTAAGTTCATCGCTGTATATTACATCAGCAGCTAAAATGAGTGTTGCTCTCTCAGCTTCTACAGCCTCTGATGCGGTCCAAGAGTACTTTGACCTGAAACAGATGGGTTGGTACTTGAAAGCAAAAAGAGTAATTGAATCTTATACAAACTAGGCCTCGTAAATGAAAACTTGCAATTCTTTTAAGGACAAACCTGCAGCATGAAGTACATAATTATGAGCCAGTAATATGTATTTGGACTAACATAATAATGAACATCATTATTAGCCTAATTCAAACTATTTGGCGTCATCATTATAATCATCATTCTGAATTGATCTGATGAGATGTAAAATCAATTTTACACAAAATAGTTTGTGTAACTTCTATCTATGTGATTATTGAGCAACCCTCTTACTTTACACTCATTCTACACATTTTATCTAATCTCATGTTGTATATGTCCAAATCACTCAAATTCATTTTTCACCGTCCTGTTTTCAATAAATACTCTCCCCACAATCTACTAATGTAGTCATTCCATATTAAAAACTTGCTAATTTTTCTACAAATCTTTCCTAATATTTTTATTTTTATCAAGCTCAGCTTAATTACCATTGATTTTTACTGCCCAACACATCAATTCATACAACATAACCAATGTAACGGCAAATTTTAAAAAATATAAATCTAAATATGCATGATATTCTTTTATCAACTTATTTATTTTAACAATCAACAATAAATTTATTCCCATCCATATTCTCATTTTTATGTATAATATACCCAAGCTATGTAACCCCACCATACTAACGCATAACCATCTCAACTTTCAGTTCTTCTGCATGCAGACCATCGCTATATGTTTATAATTTTTCAAACATAATTTAAATATTTTTCATGCTTCAAGTATAGAATAAGAACACATTATATCTTTCTTTGCTGGTTTTGAATATTTTAGATTTGTATTGATGCCTACTTCTATAAAAAAGAGTGCCTTAGGTTTGTATGAAGGATGTTGAATGAAAAGTATAGTAGCTTAAGTTCTATCATCTTCGTCTTTCATATTTGCTCCCTCTTTATTTTTCTCTCTTACCACCCTAGGTTTGTGACCCCATTCTTCATCTAACCTACTTAATAATCATCCTTTCCATGAAAATAGGGTGATAATAAATCAAACCTAAAAACTCTACTTTGAAGCCCTTATGGATCCATGCATGGTTAAATTCACTATTCCCTGCCAAAACTTTCCTCCCTCCTCTCATAGTAATATTCTTTCTTTAAATATCTCTAAAAAAATGTCCCACATTCAAAATTATGACCATATTTCTTTTCTCTATCACCAAGCAAATCTAGAATAGCCAAAAGAAATCATGAACCACTCCACAATTGGCCACCTATCCATCATTCTTTCCCAAATAAAAATGCATTTCGAGATATGGAGATTGGTACATATAGAACCAAACGCCTATATCAGATACAGAAGCCGAGTAAGTCACGCCCCTGATATGAAATGAAAGCTCCTCCTACTACTACTACTCAAAGAAAAAAGAAAGGCTTACAAATGAGTGGAGTGCATAAGAACAGCACTCACCCCTATCATTTTAGCGGAGTTATATTATGTTGCTAAGGATTGACATAAAAAGCCTACTTGCAAAATGTTATGCTTGAACCGGCCCAGGAGGGGCCGGCTGGACCCGGTCCGACCCGGGTCTACACCAGGCTGAGGCGAAAACCTGGAAAGGAGGGGGGCGGACAAGGTGGACCCCACTTGGGGCTGATTTGATTATGTGGGAGGGAAAATTTTGAATGCAAAGGGCTGTTTAGGTATTTGGTAGGAATCCTTTATTGTTAATTAGGAGGATTAGGAGGGAAAGGGGGTTATCTTGAATTTGAATGTAATTGGAGATCTAGGGTTTCTTGCTTGGGCTCTTGGCGTTGCCGGAGATTGTCGGAGAGTTGTTCTTCCTCTCGAATCGAAGAACATTGTATCTTGCTTTTGTTTTGATCATCTACTAGTGGAATATAAGTCCATTG